CCCCTCACCACCCACACTGTCTCCAGTGACATCTGAAGCCTCTCTTTCTGATCACCCTATTTATTTCTCTCCTTCTAGTTATCATCGACTACAATGATCTTATTTCCTAACCAAAATATATTCATGTATCTTTAATCTGCCTTAAGTCTTCTATGTCCAGGGGCAGGATTAAAATATTGTCATTTCTAACTTACAGACTTCATTAAAATATCTATCTCCAATATTATCATCCATTAAATTTTACTAAAATGATTTCTTCAGAAGAAGAACACATACTGAGAAATTTTACAAATTTTCTGTGGATTAGCAAGTTAATAACCTGTACTGCTATGGTAGAATTACATCTAGGACTTGAACAGAAAGGGAAACCCTGCAGCTTTAGTTAAGGACTATAAATAATGACAGAAACAGATACTAAGCACATTTTAAATTCTGCTATAAATAAAAACAATTTCTTTTAAAATTAGCTTTGAGATTTTATGAGACTTATAACAATCATTCATCAGAAGCAAAAATGATTTCTGAAAATATTACTCATAATATTAAGTACATGGCTATGTAGCTACCACTTATTTGAAAAATCTACCTATTATAAACAAAATGTTTCTATCTTATAATTAAAGATAGGTTTAAAAAGTCTAAAGTCTTGGAATCCCCACTGTTACGGTTTAGAAGTTGGGTGCTTCCCCTAAGCTCATATGTGAGACAATGCAAGACAGTGTAGAGGTGAAATGATTGACTTAGGATAGCCTTAATCTAATCAGTGAATTAACTGGGTGGTAACTGTAGACAGGTAGGTTGTGGCTGGAGGAGGTACTTTGTTGGGGGTGTGCCTTCAGAATATATATTTTTGTCCTCTTCTACAGTGTCTGTCTTTCTGCTTTCTGATACCATGACCTGAGCTGCCTTCCTCTACTACACTCTTCCACCATGATGTTCTGCCTCACCTCAAACCCCAAAGAATGGAGCCTTCTGTCTGTGGACTTAGTCCTCTGAAACTCTGCATGTCAAGTCAAATTTTCCTCCTTTAAAATGATTCCTTCCAGGTCTTTTGGTCACAGAGGTGACAAAGCTGACTAAAAGCACCCATCTACCTCTGGTAGAATTAGTAAACAATTTAATTACATTTCATTCTTGATCTTAGGAAGTTAAAATGGGGTAATTAAGATATAGAAGACAGATTATAATCTAATCCCCCAGGACAAAAAGTTGGCTTTTTTAAAAAATCATAAAGTAGCAATATCAATCCTAGATCTTCACACTTCTGTTTAGAAAATGTAGGAAGAAACTCACATTCTCAAAATCTGCCAATAACTTGTGTACAGATAAAAGAAAGGAACACCCATTTTTTAGAAATAAAAAAAATGAGACTATTGCCTGTGACAACTCAAGATAACTCTTTTCCACATAGTAGTTGAACCAGGCCACACCTCATTTTGCATGTAAACAATAAGGAAGCAATTCAAAACTGTAATGTCATAGATCTTAGTTGTCTATAACTCTCCTCCATTCTCAGGTGCTGCAGATCAAACCTTTGGCCTGGTGCATGCTAGGAGAGCACTGTAGCACTGAACCACATCCCCAGCTCTCATGATAGAATTTTAAATGAAAAAAAAGTCTGGTAAAATTAAAAAATGAAATTAATTCTTTAAGAGTACACAAGGTAGAAATACAAACTCCTTTTTGAAGAATTGAATATAAGCTAGAGATCAAGCAGAATCAGAGATTATGATTTTGAAGAAGGTAAGGAAATATGATATTTTGTCACATATATTTCAGGATCCAAGGCTCAGAGCTAATTGTTACCTTTTGATCTACTTTTTCATCTATCCATCCATTCACTCACCTAGATCCATCCAGCCTTCCACTCTTCTATTTAAAGACCTCCCTCACATATCATCATTGGAGGAAAATTTCCCTTTCTGTAAAAATTCTGTCTTTTATTAGTTCTCATAAAGAAAGTATTCTAGGTGCTGGGGAAAATTATATTTACTGGTGAGAAAATTATAATTTTCAAATATGGCAGAAAAAAATCATAAAAAGAGAAGTAGGAATTCAGAGCAGAGGAAAGGGGTTAGAAAAACAGAAAGGAAGGAGAGAGAAGAAAGAGTAAGAAAGGAAGTGTTAAGGTTTGGATGTCAGGTGTCCCTCAAAAGCTCATGTGTGAGACAATGCAAGAAGGTTTAGAGGAGAAATGATTGGGTTATGAAAGCCTTAACCCAATCAGTGAATTATCTCCTTGATGGGATTAACTGGGTGGTGGCTGAAGGCGGGTAAGGTGTGGTTGGAGGAGGTGGGTCCCTGGATGCATGCCTTTGGGGTATGTATTTTGTCTGAAGAGTAGAGTCTTTCTCTGCCTTCTGGACATCATGTGAGCTGCTCCCTCCACCATATTCTTCTGATGTACAGCCTCACCTCAAGCCCCAAGCAATGGAGTTAACCATCTATGGACTGAGACCTCTGAAATCATAAGCCCCTAAATAAACTTTTCCTCCTCCAAAATTGTTCTTGTCAGGTCTTTTAGTCACAGCAGCAAAAAAGCTGACTAATACAGAAAGAAAGTTAAAGAAGGGAGTAGAGAAAAGCTCAGCACTGTGTTGGGCAGCAACTTTCCTCTGCCAGTTCAGGGTCCTGTTCCACCCTCTTCCAGCCTGCTCTCCACCCTAGGAGGTGGACTTAAACAGAATTCATTAAGCAAGCCCCTCAGTTGTGGCTTCCAGTGGTTCTGGCCAGTGGGGTGGTTGAATGGAAAGAGAGTGGTAGCTTCTCAAAGGCATTCTGCTTCCAATTTCTAATCTATTTATCTACAAGGCCTTAAGGTTGGGAACAGCTCTTGCTCTATTACTAGCTCTGGGTTGCAGCTCAGGCCCTTGCAGTCTGTCTTCACTGCCCAAGTGCCACTGTAAACACACCCTCATGGAAAGGTCCATCTGTTTATTGTTGGGACCTTGGTGTTGGGATGTGCAAAGAGATGAGGAATGGAATGATTTATGTGGAGGATGTTTAGGGAGGAAAAAGCTAATGAATAACTTGATGGACAATATGCATGGATTATCCTTTCTTGGAGGTTTACAATGCTAATATTTAAAAGTGCTGTTGTTTTGTGGTTAAGAAATCTGTTCAACCATCATTTAAGTTCAGTGAGTCGTGGAAATATCTGGAGGCATGAGAGACACAACTAGGTAAGGGTGGACAGAGTGAGGAGAGACTACCTAGGTAAGTGAACATGGTGATGTGAAGGCCATCGTAATCTCTGTACAGCTTAACCACTGTGGTGAAGGGTGTGAAGTCAAGAGGAAGCAGAACCAGCTAAAACCTCAGATATACTTGGGCAGACCCTGGGTGAGTTAAACGCTAATTCAGAGCACTCAAAAGCCTCCTCTTAGAGTTTACACATTTAAGGAATTATTATAAATTTCAGCTCCTTAAATTATTTAATTTTAATATAATTACAATACAATATAATATAATCTTATAGATTCATTAGAATTAAAAAGAAATGCTCTGAAAGTACAGGCCATGTAACAAAACAAAAACATCTCATCCATAAATCAAATGGCCAACAGCTGTCTGGTCTTTGAAAGGAATTATCTCTTTTGTCCTAAGATTAGCAGGGCTGCAGAGGAAAGAAAGGAATTAAATATCATTATCAGTTCAAGTCATCCAGTAATTTCTGCAATGAAATAGTCCAACCACATTCAGAAATTATCATGAAAACACTTAGCTTTGTAGGTGAATTATTATTGAATTTATATTAACCCGTGGGCTAAGGAGCTAGGGAATATTTTTTAAAAGTTGCTAATGTAAAAAGATATGCTACTGATCTCTTAATCTGATATATCCAGCAAGAGTTATTTGCCCTGGGGTCTGAGCTACATTGTAATGAAATCAAAGGACATAAAAACTATGGCAGGAATAGTGCTGAAATTGGAGAAGCATCATTATGAATAGCAACAAGTATGGAGATGCATATGTAAGAGGGTAACTAGAGTCAATATAGCCACTGTTCTTCCATGATTTAGGGTAAATAGATAGTTATGGTTCATCTGCTAAATGATCTACTGGGTAGATATTTATGGATTGTTATACAGTATATTATTGAGGATAAGCCTGGTTAAAAACAAATAGAGAAAAGAGCAAATGGCACAGGCATGCTTTTAGTAAGGCCATCATTTGTAATATTTCTCAGGAAAAATCTCTTTCAGAAATTCCTCAGCATAGCTAATGTGCCATAGAAGGACTCTCCATTTTAGGAGTGCATAAATCCACATAAATTGCTATAATAAGGATCCATCTCACAGCCCTTTTGGCATAAATGCACATCTGGTCTCTGTTTGTAATGAAATCAATTCAAAGCCCCACAGTGCATTAATAATAAAAATGTTCAACATATTGCAACTAAATAGGCCCTGAAAATTTGAGTCTGCAAGATTCTGTCACACATGTATATACTTTTAGCACTGATAAAAGATTAGTTAGAGAACATTTATCAAGTGGCTTAAATTCCAAAGGTAAACTTTTTTTTAATCTTAATTATCATTTCCACAGGAAAAATCCAAATGCATATATGCTAGAAGCTTTTGTTTGTTTGAGACCTAATGTCTCTTAGACTTTTACATCTGTAGTTCACAATACCATAGAAATTTTATTAATAATAAAATTATTATAAGTAATACCATCAGGCTTAGAAGAAATTCAAGGATTCCCACTTTAAAAACATCAAATTATAAAATTAGCCATTAGTATAATGGGGGTTGTCTTTAAATCTGAAATTAAAAAATAGAGAGTGTTTCTTTTTCATTTCTGCTATTATTTCTATTTATTTTATAATTAATATGTTGTCTTTGACCTTATGGCTTTACATTTGCAAACAGAGAGTTTTCCTACATTGATTTAAAAAAACAAAACAAAACTCCTGACTGTTTTGTTTTCAACAGTTAACAATCAGCAACAGAGGATATAGATTTAGCAAAGCCTTCCTTATTAGTCACACGATTTACCTTCTGTGTTATATGATTGACCCAAGGAGAAGAACAGTTGCTGAGATCTGGTCCTTGGGGATCCCAAATTCCATCAGGAGCAAGGCATAGGTAAGTTGATACACCTATAATAATGAGAGAAATATGTCTGTTTCGAATACTTAAACCATTTTTTCTTAGAATGACTCCACATCCTTGCTATGCTTAAATATAAATGAAAGTAAAAGTGAGATAATTAAATTGAGATATGTCTATTAAACTCCAGATACGGTGCCTGGCAAAGAGTTGGCATTGGAAAAATACTGTACAACAAAAACATTTTGTTATTTTTAAAAACTTGCTGCAACTGTGCAGGGTTTGGGAAGAATTTCCTGAATTCAATCGATGTGGTACTTCTGTAACGTGGACCTTCTTGCTTGAGTCAGGATAGAAGAGTCTCAAAGGAATCCGTGTACAGGTCTTTCAGGAAAACAGGTGGGAAAGGAGATTCCAAGTGGAGGAAATATACGCTGTCTTTTGGAGACTCCAAATTTTTGGAACTGGAGTCTACTGGACAAATGGAGCTGGAAAGGGAGGCAAAGTCAGATCGCAAAGTCCCTTGTCTATCATGTGTGGGTGCTGAAAATCAAAGAAGACCACTAAGGAGAGGAGAGAAATGAGCAGATGTTGGTGTTACAGAGATAAATCTGGCATCAGAATGGAGGATGAATCTGAGGAAGTGATGGGGATGTTGTGAGAAAGCTATTGGTGTAATTCAAGTAAGAAGCTGTGAGGGCCTAGAACAAGGAATTACAGAGTGGACGGAGGAGCATATACTAAGTTAGATGTTCACTGACAGTAACCTTTATTTCTGCACTGCCTTCAGAAGATTTTCTTTAAACCTCTTCTCTAATTTTCACAGAACAATAATGGCATATTTCTGTACTGCAAAGTGCTTTCAAATAAAGTGTTTCACTAATCTTCAGGACAAATATTTCAAGTATGGAGTCTGTTGTTATTTCTCTTTTAGTGATGAAGGAACTGAGGCTGAGAACTGAGAAAGAAGGAGGGATTGAATGGCTTACTGATTTCAATATACAGGAAACTTTAGAAATAAATATACACCCTCCTTTTCATAAAAGAAAAAAAAGATTATTGAATAATTAAGTGCTTTGTTAAAATATATCACTTCTATAAAAACCAAGATACTCATTGGTTTTCCCACCATTTCATATACCACGGAATTTGGAATGATATATCATGTTGGAACTTTCTAATAAAAAACTTCTTCCTTAAAGAAACCAAATCTGATACCAGACACAGTCTCTAAGAAGGGTAGGTTTGCAAAATCTATTGTGTAAATATTTGTATATTTTAGGAAATAATGCAAATTTTTAAAAATGTGTCAAGTAACAATTTATAAAGATCCAAAACGTATGTAACAATAAAAAAATCAGCATATTTCTTTATTAAATATAGTAAATAATAACAGAATTACAGTTTGGAAATATGATAAATATGTTAGTAATAAAACAGGTAAAGAGCTATTTAGTTCTTCACTGTTGCCTAGAGACCACAGTGTGGGATTGCCCTCTCAGGAATGTGGGTTAGTGGGAGGTGGCTCCTGCCAGCATGGTTCCTGACAATCTTAAGAGCCTTTGACCACTAGGGGACAACTATAATAACAGGTGAAAATTTCTTTTGTTAAATGCTATGTCAGCTCACTGATCTTCTAATATAGATGTCCTGGATCTCATTTTCTGCAACCAGTATTTCACCACTGGAGACAAGCATGCGGAAACCCAGCCATCAGGGATTCCCTCTTCAGCCCTGCACAGAAAAGATACCTCCCTGAAGTAGCAGGAACATCTGCAGCTTAACTGTAATTTGACTCCAAGACCCACACTGAACACTACTGATCTAACAGGTATTCCTACCCAATTCTCACCTGTGAACTCTGCAGAGTGCATTTTCAAACTCTTGACAATACATTGCTTTAAATTGTAATTTAGCTGAGTTCAGAATTCAACCGAATATGAAGTAGCAAAATATGTAGTAACCAAAGACAGAGGGTGGGGGTGCGAATATAAAAGAACTCTAGGAATTCAAGTTAAAGTACAAAAATATTGTTAACTTTTGGTTCTCTAGGACAGACTTACCTATAGTTCCTGCAGGGCATGGCTGCTTTGCTATTTGTCCTTGACGGGTCTTAAACCACATGATTTCTCGAGCTTCCACAGCCTCACAGCTCTCTTCCAAAGCTGGGACCTGGGAGGATGCTGATGGTATGTGTGTGGTTATGTCATCAAGAACCTCCACAGCTGGAGATGGGGTGCTGGTGCTCCGGTTCCTTCTTCCTGACACTGATGGGGTGGTACTCTTTCCTAGGCTCCAAGTTGTAGTCCGAAGGGTGGTACTTGTGGTGGTGCTTCCAATGCCCAGAGGTCCTGTAGTAGAGATTCCTGAAATAAATTTGAAAGGTAACACCTATATTGCTTGTTCACAGTCGGACCTCAAATAGCCTTCATACTTCAGAAACCATTTTTATGTGACAGTACAGAGTTTTAAGGCTCTAGAAACCCTCAACTTTATTTTCACTTTAAACATGGCAAAAAAAAAAAATGTTTTCCCAAGTGATTGTACCCTTTTACAGGACCTCCTACCCCCATCAGTATATAAAGATTGTATTTATATCCATTCCCACACTTTGTTCAATCTTATATGTATACATACTTTTATCACATAAAAACTGTACATATTTATAACATACAGTATGGCATTTCAATACATGTATATAATATATAATGATCAAATTCCATCAGCATTTCTAATTATTCCCAATTGAATAGTATCAAACAGTATCTCAATATGGTCTTGATTTGAATTTCAATGAGTATTAATTGACCAGTTATTTTTTATAAATTAAAATTCTGGAATGTTTAAAAAGAAAGGATGGAAATGCTGGCACATGCTTCTATACGGATGAAACTTCATTACATCACGCCAAGTGAAATAAGCCAGCCAAAAGAGGACAAATATTCGTAGATACAGAGAGTAGACTGTAGTTGCTGCAAACTGGAGTTAGGGGGCTTGAGGGTGGGAGACAGAGTGTTTAATGTGAATTTCAGTTGTGAAAGATAAAAAAGTGGAGAGAGATGGTGTTGATGGTTGCAGACTAATATGAATGTACTTAACGCCACTAAACTGTCCACTTAAAATGGTTATGCATACTCTATCACAGAAGAAAAACTGAATTGAAAAAAAGTAAACATGGCAAAAATAAGCCAATACCAAGGTATCAGAGTGACACTTGACTGGCAACACAGCTATTTGACCACTGCCAAAAAGGCCTTTTTGTGGGTCTTCTCAGTTCTAATCACAGAAAACAAAATTGCAGTATTAAGCTTCTTATGCTCTCAGCCTTAGTGACAATTAGGGGATTAAAACTTTAAGCCCTCTTATTAAGTTTTTCAAACTTGGTATTAAAAAAAGAGTTCTATAAAATACTCTATTCATATTAGGTATAACATGAATTTCTAAATATGCAGCAAGTAAGAGAGAAGCAAAAAACAAAAAAAAAAAGGAGGGGACGGACACATGGTCACAAGCTAAAAAATACAGAGCAATTTCAGTACAATTTCCTTAATACACATTAGAGTAGCTTAGTGATCTACCTTGACACTCTCAGCACTGACTCACCTTAACAAAGTTTTAAAACTTGACATTTACTAATGTAAAGTATAAGTAGCTCCCAGGTAGTTATGTCCTTAAATTACTTTTTAATAAATTTTCTTTTTCTTTTTAATGGGAAAACATATTTCAAGTTACAGATAAAAGTAGTTAGGTCCCCTGCCCAGATTTTAGGGATCTCCTAACAATACTAAAAGAATGTTCACTTTAAAGAATCATCATTTGGGAAAAATATATTCGTATTCTAATTATGAGAATGTATGAGAACATTAGTCTTTCCATATACATACACTGAATTCCTTACTATTAGATTCAAAATTATTCTTAACATCACTTGTTGGCAATAAACTTCAGGGGCACTGGCTCTAGCCAGATTCTAGATAACTTGGGTTTAAGGAGCTGTGGGGAGCCCTGTGATGAGCCTCCAGCTGTTTGTCATTCATTGTCTACTTAGAAAAAGACAAGTGCACATGTGTTAAAGGACTTTAACTCTCTGCTGCCCCAGAGGAGGTCACAGTATCATCTCAATGCCTTTGGGGTATTTAAAATTTCTAAGAAGCAAGATAGACACAGCAGGGGGAGAACATATCAATTTCTGAACATTTAATTATTAAATTATAGCATTTCTTAAAGATTTTTTTGTCTTCTTGCTTCTCTGTCTTTTCTTCCTCTACTCTCAACTTTCCTTTTTCTCTACATTCATTTTTTTTGTGTGAATGGTAATGTGCACATCCTTATCTGCTCCAAGTTCATAAAGAAGGCAGAGTATCTTTTTTCCCTCTTCTTCCACATATACTAAATACCCTACATCGCCAAGGCTTGTTGTTTGTGACTCATTCCTCTGCTTGAATGTTCTCTCTCCCTCTCTCTTTCCATCACCATTGTCTACACTGGCCCACCACCATCAATGAAGGAATACAGGAGCCTATTAACTATTTTGCTGATGAAAGCAATACTGGAGAAAAGTGATAATACTCTTATTTCAATGTTTTTGCAAAATAAAAGCTTAGGATTCATAAAATAAAATGATTGTCCTTAAGCATTTGATATAATTCAAATAGAAAATTTGACATTTTTTGTAAAATATTAAGTGAAATTGATTCTTAAGGTGATAAACAATAAAACATCATACAACATATTATTCACACATAAAATCAATGAGATGTTTCCAAGACATGATGTAAAAGTATGAATATTTAATGATTTGAAAATGAAATATTTGACACTATCAAGTAATTAGCTTTAAAAAATAAATCTGAAAGGTGTCACTACTGGGATATAAGGACATTTGAGGCCAATTTTTCAAGGTGACAGAAAAATTCTTTTTGATTTTATACTACTTAGGGGAAGAGTAAGGCAATAGTTAAAAGTGAAATCCAAGTGTTTTTCTCAGCCTCCTTTACTTTAAGTAATGCCAGTTCTCATTATCATTTTTGAAGGGACCATTTTGAGTAACTTAATTTTTTGACAGGGACTATAATCTTTTCATTGATAATGAGCTGTAGTTTTTGTTTTAAAGAAAGCATTACTAGTCCTTTTCTTTCTCTTTTTTTAGTTTGATCCCATAAAAGTGGAGATTCATAGCAAGCAGTTATCTGCTATTAGCTCAATAATCTCATGCTCAAATTAACTTGTTCAGGAAAGTCTGTGAGCTACCGTGAAAAATACTTTTAAAATAGAAACTTTTTTCAACTGTGTTCTTTCTCTTCTTGAGAATTATATAGGTATAGAAGGATGGTTTCAAAATGAATGTGCCTTTCTTCAACTAGATATTTTAATTAGAATATAACTGACAGGAAAAAGGATTTTTTCAGCAATAATTTTTACTATGAAAAAACTTCACAGTTGCACATGTGGTAAGAGCTTCTCTAGCCTATTGTCTTAACAAGGACAAATGGCTCACTACTACAAGATTTTAGCTTGCAGTGACTCAAGACATACCAATTTTGAATAGATTCACCTTTTAGCATAGATTTAATACATGTATCATTATACTCTACTTAAATGACCCACATTTCAGATTTTTGAAGACTACAGTATCACACCAAAATAAATTCAACAATGGCAACATGTAAATGGAAATTAGTGCTTTTTGTTTCTAAAATTACCATATTCAAACCCTTTGGTACCTTTTTTTCCAGAGACTTCTTAGGGTATAAATTAAAATATGTTATTCTCTTGATTAAAATCCTTAATTGGTTTCTGTCTTTCTTTCAAACAAAAGAACTTTTTTTTTCTTCATGTTCAGAGCCCTTAGTTTATCTCTGCAGCTCATTTACAATGTTTCCTCATCTTTTCACTCTACTTTTAAACCATAAAATATTGCCAGTAGTTCCCCAACTGTAGCTTCTTTTCCCTGCATCAAGACCTTTGTACATGCTGCAGAATTCTTATCCTGTCTTCAGTGGGTTAATTCCTATTTATACTTTGGGCTTAGCTTAGAAGCCAACACCATCAAGGAGCCTTTCCAAAGCTACTAACCCACATATACTAAGTCTGGGTTATGTAGTAGCATGCATTACTTAAGATCATTTCTTTTAGTGTGGTGCCTAAGAGTAAGTTCTAAGCTAAGAGAAATGAATATCAGGAATAGGTCAAAGAAGCAGGAGATGGGCTGTTGATGAAGCTCAGATGTGGAATGCTTGCCTAGCATGCACAAGGCCCTGGGTTCAATTCCCAAAACCGCTAAAACAACAACAAAAACAAACAAACAAAAAAAGAAAAAGAAGCAGTAGAATGTACAGTATCACAAAAGAAGGGAGAAAACAAGTAGAAGAAAATAGAAAATACTATACCTAAGAGTCCTGAGAATGAATATTCTAGAAAATGTATCATAAATGTATCTTATGCTATCATTAAGAAAACCACTAGACATATCAAAGAGGAAATAATAAGGAAGAATATAAAACACCCTTTCCTCCAAAATGACCCTGTCTCAAGACAATCATATTAAAGTGAATGTGCTCTTATGAAGCAGTAATACAGATAAAATGAGATCTTTTTTTAAAGTTCAATTTGTTATGAAATACATTGGAGGGACTCCGTTTAATACAGCCATACTAATGTTAAGGATCAATATAGAACTTATTTCCTTGGAACTGTGCCGCAGAGAGATGTCTACAAGCAGGGTCATACCATTCTGTGCGACTTTAAGTAGAATAAAAGTCAATTTTAAAAGCTGTCCTTGATCTCCCTTCTCCTCCATCCCATTTATTGCTACATAGGACTCCCAGGGGCTCTGCTCAATACCAGGTTTTGGCAGAATAAGTACAAGTGATCTACATGCTGTCACCAGAGTCCAAGATATAACTTGTCTTATTGCTAGATTCTGAGAAAAAATGGTCTAGATTCACAGAAGAGTCATTGATTGGCAAAGTTTCAACCCATATCATAGGCTGTAAGAGTTTGTCTCTTATCTTCCAAAAAGAGGGAAGTGATATGACATTTTTTCAGTGTATATATTGTTACTGAATCTTACCTGAAGACAAAGAGAGGTAGCTTAATAAAACTATGTGTTAAGTGCCTTATGTGGTAGTGTATCCGGGAAAAAGTATTGTATGAAAGAAAATAGCTTTGAATGACTAGTTACACATAATATTTTATCAAACTTGTGTAATTTTCTTATTATCTTGCTTTTGTTACTGAGCTCATAAAATTAATAATTCCATAAAAACAGTTAAACAGAACTCCATATTAAGAATTCTCCTCATAACATAGGACTTCCCAGGTCACACTGAGTGTGTGGCGCTTACTCTGGCTGGTGTGGGGGACC